ACCATCAGACAAGATAAGATGCTGCATCATATTAATGAGCAAACGAACCCAAGTCTGTCATACGGTTACGCAACAGTCTAGGAGCTTTACAGTTTCTATGTCAGAGATAATACTTATCTTATTAGAACAAAAAAGTTTACTGCTTTTGTGAACCACGTGAAGAGGAGTGGCTGAAATGTAACCATATTTCCATGTATTACGTAAATCCTGAATAACTGAATTACTTAGAGTTAGTAAAATGCTTAAGTGGACTATCAAAATAAAGTGCAACCAGATAAATTCTAAAATTATTGCTATATATTAAATATATGCTTTTACTGACATGTTTCAATGGTGTCGGATAGAGCTAATAAAAAAAGTAAACGTAGCACCATGTTAAAGCAGGTATTATGTAGAATTGAAGAAATTCGTTTAGCTTCATTTTGGATAGATAATTTATTCCAGGACTGAACTTCCAGTGCTTTCACCTAATTAGTTATTGCTTTGTTTGTGATTATCATAACTTGAACGTCTGAACTTTTCTTTGACACACACAGATACACGCAATGTTGGATGCAACTTCTGTAGATGAATTTGTAGCGTTAAATCGCTATATGAAAATATCGAAGTGAGATGAGATGTGAATACATGTATTGTGAATATTTTGAAAGGTGTTTTGAAATATCTTCAGGAAGACAGGGTCAGCTCTATGCACCCTGCTTTTCAACATAAAAGTGCTGCCGATTTTCAAAAAAATATTGAATCTTCTGTGTAAATTGTGGATGACTGTGTATGCTGAATAACATTCTGTTACAGTAATTGAATATGATGATCTTCAATCTTTGTGAAGAACTGACCAATATGTCCTTCTGTCTTATACTGCTGCATAGCAGTCCCACACACAAAAGCTCACAGAAACAAAGAAAATCATGGAATAAAATAATAGAAAAAGGTTTTTTGTCTTTCGCAAAGCATCTCGTTTTTTAATAAAACTTTTGTTATATATATAATTACTGGAAACTATTAAAAAACCTTTGTAAAAGCTATATGTGCACAAACATGTGAGGGAAGATACTTTTAAGAACCATATATATATCAATTTGGCTACTTGCCAAATGAATAAATGAACTTGATCTACTGATTTTAGTTGATAATATTTTATTATGTGAGAAGAGAGTGTGGAGTGATACGAGAGACACATGTCAGAAATCACTTTCCTGGGCAAATGTGAATTATACAGTTTACCAGCGTTATAGAAAAATATATGACTGCAGAACGCTGCGATTGATCAGTCACAGTGAAACATTCTAGAATTGTTGTATTGGAACAATAACATTTAAATCTTAAATCCTTATATAATGCATAAAGACCAAAGTAGTAATTTAAAGCTTTCTATATATTTTTATCATGTCTTGAGTTTTCATCATTTTCATCGTTTCATCATCAATTCATCATTGTGAAGTGCTCCTGTTCAAGACCGAGACGGCAGAAAGCATTTGTTTTCTTTATTTTATAAAAGCACAACGTTTTGTTGATATTGTGAGTGCACACAAATAAAACTAGACCCTTTACAGTTTAGAATGATGTATTACTCTTACCTTTATGAGCAAAAATGACTGCATATTTTAAGTTGTTTCCACTGTTAGAAAAAA